AATTCGTTGTAACCACTTGCTTTCCTTTTATTAATAGCCTCGTTGGACGAAAGTCCAGTCTCTAAATTAGTTCCAAGATCAGAGACTGCTTTTTCAATGGGATGGCGTGCATAATAAGCCGAAGGTGTCGATGAGGTCATTTGGAATGATTAAATATGTGCCTCTAAGAGTTTCGGCAAACCAGAGTCTTGATCCGAGAAACGTTAACAAAAAAAACCATATACTGTGCTAATATGCGCAATTGTGGCTTGCCTCAGTCCTATTGGAAAATTGGAAAAACTCCGCATAGCCATGAAATTTTATTACATACCCCTGTAAATTCTCGCAAAACAGTTGCTTTCTTAATATGGTTCGACGGTTTCAAATTACATGCGAAAGAAGAGCGTTATTGGTTGTACCATAAACAAGTGTTTTGTAGCATTCCATGAGCGAATTCCATTCTGTTTCGTAATGAAATGATCTTATATTGACTTGATCTTAAAAAGGCTTTAAAATGATCTAGCAAAGTCCCAGCCACCCAGTTGAATAACTTTGTTGGCTTAGTGAAAAGTCTAGAAAATTAATTTGCCCATAATTGATTCTCCACGTGCGACGTGTTTGGCCCTCAAATAAAATACAATTAATGGCATGCATCGAATGATTTAACTTCCAATAAAGTTTATCAAGTAAAAAACCGTCATAATCAGGAGTAAATTTTTTAGCCGACGCAATCTAAACATATGCAAGAAATACATTCCATGTGCATATACATTTGCTTACTGTAACATGAGAACACAAATAAAAATTTTTGGTTTACCAAATTTATTTTTTGAATTTTATTATATCCGCAATCAGGCAGTGTCATTGAATATACCGTAAAACAAAATCATATACTATATACTGTATATGAAAAAGTAATAAAAACATATTAATTTAATTAAATAGTGCTATCTTTTAAAATTGTTAAATATATTGTAGTTTATTGTAATTTTAAAAAGTGATAGTTAAAATAAAAATAATATTTTTATAATAAAAAAATCATTGATTTTTTTTTTTTTTTTTTTAATGTTAAAATTATTGATTTTTTGAAAAAAATTTTTATAGTATTTTATTTGAAAAATACTTTCTATATATTCTTTTTTATAGTATATTTGTTTTAAGCTTAAAAAATTATAAAATTTTTTAAGATATGTCTTATTTAATATCTAAAAAATAAAATAAAATTATAAATATATTTAAGAATTTTATTTATTTTTTAATTATATAAAAAATCACTTATAAAAATTCTTCTTTATAACTTTTTTTTAATATATAAAATTATATTTATTATAATTATAAATAGTTTAAAATTATTTTAATATATAAATTTTATTAAATTTTATATTATTTTTAATATAAAAAAATTAATATATCATAATTTTATCAATATTATTATTATATTATTATTATTTATTTATTTATTTATTTATTATTATTATTATTTATTTTTTTATTATTTTTATTATTTTTAAATATTTAATTCTTATACTTATATTTTTATTTTTATTTTTTTTTAATATTTTATTCTATTTTTAAAAATTTTTATATTTGTTATTTTATTTTATTTCTTAAATTATTTAATTTTTATTATTATAAATTTAATATAATTTTATAATTTTATATAATTAATTATAATTATTGTTTTTTTTTTTAATTTTATTTTACTAATTGCCATATATTAAAATAATTTTATTATTTTTTTTATTTAAGTTTTATTTATTTATTTTTTTAAAGTAGATAAATATTATTATTTTATTATTTATAAAAATATAAAATTTTATATATGAAAAAAATAATGACCTACCCGGTCATAGTCCAGTGGGCTAAGGCAGGGTAGGGCTAACCTATAACCCACGATTCAATCCCAGCTGGGGGACAATTCACATATCCCAAATTAGGGACTTTGTGTCACTGCCCCTGTAACTCGTGATAGAGAGCAATTTGGATTGTTCCGGTGATCAGGAAGCCTTATGGGTTGACTACCCCCATTGGTCGAAAAGATAGATGATCTGATTGGTAAAACTTTCGAATCAAGTATTGCCCAGGAAACACCTTCAAAAGGGGAAAAAAGTTTCATGGGATCTTTCTGGTAGCGGAAAGAAAGATACAGACGGCTAAAACCATTAGTTGCACAACTATCAGTAAGAGTTTCACATATCCGTTGGTAGCGAGGATCTGGTCAGGGATGCAGGAGGTTGCTTGTATCACAGGATATTCTATCCTAAGGGGTACACTTGCGACGGTTGACTGCATGATCCTATAAAACGTAACCCCCCACATGTGTTGCTAGGTTAGATTAGGAAGGGTGAGGCTGGGTTCGATTCCTAAACGGATTTGGTGTATTGATGTACCCTCATCCCACCGATGATATCTCACTAATTAGAAATCCTAGTAAGTCCTGGCTAAACTGAACGGTTGAAATATTAAAAAGTACACTAGCAATGCCTAGGCACGTTAGTTCCCTCTAAGAGGGTGGCAACAAGTCACAGAGACTCAATAGAGTAACTGAAATAGTAAAAAAGATATAACAGAGCAAGTGACAAGTACAAGTCAGTACAACCCCACGCGCCCTAGCATAGAAATAATATATACTCCAAATAATTGAAGTATATCAAGTATATGTTAATAAAAATCTAAAACTATTGGCATGCCAGTTTAAAAAATATATATATATATATGAAAAAAATAATTACTTCTTTTATATAATCAAATAGTTAACAGTTTAATATATACTTGCTTATAGTAAACTATTTAAGCAATAAAAAAAAATAAATATTAAAATAATATATATTAAAAATAGTATTAAATAGCTATAAATATTTATTTAAAGTTATATATAATAAGATTTAAAAAAAATGAAAATTTAAAAAATATATATTATATAAGAAAAAGTATTAAAAAAAACTAATAATAAAATCCTCTTTTTTTAAACAAGTAATGGTTTGAAATAATACCAGACTAGAATATTCTTTATACTATAAAATTTGTTATATCAAAAAATTATAGATTTTTAATAAAATTAAACTAAAAGTCTTTCTTTATATAATCTTTTTTGTTTTAATCTATTTTTAACTTGTAATTATCAAAAAAATCAGAGATTATATTTTATACAGTCTAACTAAATTTGATTAGAATCTGAATATTTGAATATAATACTTATAAAAAAATCAATAAAACTATAAATAAAGAATAATTTTATAACCAATAGATCAATAACATAGTGGATAGTACTTCCTGATCTTCAAATATATGTCTTTAGTTTAATACTCACAAAGAGCAAATGCATAAATTTATCTTTATTTATGGGTTTATCAGATTGTCACAAATGTCATACCTAGATATTCGAATCCAGATCAAATTCAGTTTGACTATATAAAGATAAGATCTCTGATCTTTCTGACAATTGCGAGCTGAAAACAAGTCAAAGCAGGAAAGGTTGTATAAGGAAAGGTTTCTGGTTTAACTCTAATAAAAGTTCATAAAACTTCACCTCCACTGGCATGGCAGACTCTGTAGCACAAAGAACATTCTAGTCTAGGGCTATCCCAATTTGGCGCTTGCTTAAAAGAAGAGGTCCCTCAAGAAAATTTGAAGCCGCAGGTGGTGACAAGAAGTACAAGTACCTTTTTTGAGGAACTAGACAAAAAGTATTCAGATTATTCAAGTATTCTAATCAATCCTACAAGGTATAAGATCTTTGACAGCAAGCAACTATAAGGTTGTCAAATCAGAACTTAGTAGAAAGGTAGGTTTAAACTGGTGGCAGAACTTCTCATTTCCTGAATTTGTTTCTTCTAGGTATGAGCCCTATTTCCATAATGGTAAGTTTGTATAGCTGGGTTAAAAACAGATAGGAGGAATAGGTTAACTTAAATGAATCTTTGATATAATGTAATTGGATATAAATAGCTCAATAAAAACCAGTACGTCTAGTACCTTTCATCTTAAAAAAAAAAAAAGAATAATTTTATATATTTTGTTTTTATAAATATTAAATTAGAAATATATATTTGAAAACTTAGGAGTATATTTACTGTGTTATTAAGTTATAGGTATATATTTGATATTGATATAATACTACTGTTTGAATAAAATATAAGATTAATAAAAATAATTATTTATTTGAATTTTTTTTTGTTGAAAATATTTTTAATCTAGAAGTTACATTTGAAAAAATATGAATTTTTATATTGTTTATAATATAAATAATAAAAAAATTTTTATATTGAAAGGATACTTAAAAGTAGTTTAATTCTGAATACAATAAGATTATTATACTTGTTATTATAAAATTATTTTATGTGTTTATTAAAGATATTAATTATTTTAAAAATAAAGGTATATTGGAACTAATCAAATGTTTAAATATAAATGAATTTTTATAAATATTATAAAATCTGATAATATTGAAGATTTTATTATGACTTTTTCTGCTAATCCCCTTGCCAACCCAAAAAATAGACGTTCTCAAAAATAATTTTTATTTTTGATAATAAAGTCTATACACTCTCTTTAAAAATATTACTTCCTGAAGACTGGTGCCTCTCCCACTTATCTACCTTTTCTTCTTCTAAAAACTTTGTATATTTCAATAACAAAATAAACAAAACTTTATTTATTTGGTCTATGGCAAGAACACCTTACTGGAAAGAAGAAACTTGTAAAAAAATATCTTTCACTACTTTTTTCTTAGGTCAGGAACTTCAGAAAATAAACCATTAGCGAATGCATTTCCCAAGATCTATAAGAATCTTGGATCCATCATAAGCGAACATCTTTTGTCAAGGCAGGTGGATAAGCTAGTTGGACCTATACAGTGAATATACTCCCAAGTAATATGGAAACCTTGGGTCCACTATAAGTAACTTTCTTGGTCCAGACAGATGAATAAGCTGTTAGAAGTCTATTGTCCAGATATATGAATCTTTTTACTATTTATATATGTCTGTAGATAGTATCTTCAAGTGTGTGCAATTTTTCTTGATTTTTCTGGAGAATTTTGCCTATCTCAATTTGACCCTGAATTTTCTGTTATACTGAAAACTCTGGATGGTGATTGGCTGAAATCTTGGATTGGTTGATCAACAAGTAAAAGAAATGTAAACAAAACATGTATTCATAT